TTATGCATCTTACTGCAATTTAAAAAAGGGCACGTCCACTATAGAATGTTTAAAAAGATGCAAAATTGGCCCAATTGTTTCTAAAAACTTTTCCTCCACCTATCCTCCAGGGACTTTCTCCTGGACATCTGTTATGCAGATACTCCTGAAATCATGCTGAGTCCTCAGTATGAGCGAACTCTCCACCCTGCCCCCGATTTGTCCGCCTGACACTAGGTAGTTCTAGAAACTCCCTAATTCCCCACTCTGGTCAGAACCTCCTCAGAGCCATGCTTTTAGTTCAGGGTGAGTATAAGTCAGTTGTGCCCAAAGCTGTTGATGTATATGTTATACCCAGGAAAAGGTATAGCATTTTTGAATTTTTTGAAGAGGGGGCATCTAGAAAATATGTTTTTGCTTGAATGTAAACCAATTCAGCAGCTTCGATTGGGTAATAATCTCTTGGTTTTCCATATAGAACTGGATAGGACTGTGATCCTTAAGCTTGAGCGCCATGCTTACTTATCTGCAGAAGTAACATTTTTACTGCACCAGGGCCATTTGTCACAGAGACAACACAGGATAGTATATGCATGGTATTTATGCCCATATGTAGAGAAAAGAGTTACAGATAATTCCATTGCTTGCAATCCAGCATGCTGTGGATTGCACTTTTCCTCAGATCATAATTCTACAAGTTCTGAGCAACTCGATTGCAGGAAATGGACAGCCAGATACAATGCAATGAACATAATTTTATAGTCTAGACAATCTACCTGATGGACCTAAGTTCCAATTCTATTTGTGCCACCCACAAGTCATATGACTTTAGGGGGTCACTTTTAACTATAGAATAGGACTAATGATACCAGCTCATAGAGATGTGATAATTAAATGAGGTAAGCTCCTAGCTCATGAAGTCTTTTCAAATGTTAGTTTCCTTCCTCTTCCTCCTTCTGCATGCTCACTTCAGAGCTGCCACCAAAGCTACTCATTAAATCAAAGCTTAGTCATGTCCTCCATGTTCCTGTTCCTCATCTTGCTTCAATGGTACCAGTTGTCTCTATCTGGGTCTGTCACTGTTGAGGTCAGAGGAGTAAAACTACAACAACAATAATACAGGCTTCACAGAGATTGAAGGAGGTACATGAATGAATAGTCCTATTTTGGACAGACAGAAGACAAATGTTCTCTTTTCTTAAGAACCAATTCAATTCTTGAGCCAAGCATGTTGACAACATCTATTGCCAGATACGGTAATAATCCGTGGTAGTAGATTTTATTTAGGAAAGCAGCTGGTCCTTAAAATTTGGAAACTACATTTGTCATTTGTAAAATTCTAAATGCGAGTTTAAGAAATGATGTGTTATATACCACCTTTTTTTTCCAGAGCCCTCTCTAATGTCTCCTCCACCTCACCCCCTGCTGTTTCCATAACTGATGTAAATGTAATTTCATGAGCCAAATAGGATGGTTTTATAGGTACGCGTTTGGCATGAATTTTCATTTCTATTCACATACACATTATTACTGCCCACTGTCATGAAACCGTTTATTCCACCATAACATATAATTTAATGAAAGACATATTTTTTTGGAGTATATGAATCTGTCAAAGAAGTGACTGAATCACTTGTCATTCTGTTGTAGAGCTCCTTCTCTAATAGGTCGTCAATGCTTGGCAAATAAATTAGAAATGTCATGTTTGTTTCCAAGCAGACATAAGTTGGTGATAGCCTGTACAAAAGACACTGATGAGAAGTTCACAGAGGCATTTGAATCACTTCAGGGTTGTAAATCCGGATACAGTATTACTTTATCTTTACTGGAAATTGGGGTAAAGCAAGAGATGGGAAAGCAGGACGTTAAGTCAGCTGGTAATCCCAAATAATTTTCCACTCTGTACACTTTACATACACAGTCTACCTTCCCTGGCATCATTACTAGCTTTCACTAATGCCGTCTCAAGGTAGCATAATCTCTTTAAATCTGTGTACTTGTCTCCACATTCATGGCCATCACCTAGCATAGCAACCTATCAATAATTCTCTGGGGCCATTTGCCAGCCTCATAGATCCCCCATTGTCCACTGTGGGGCCAAAGTAACTGTTACCCAGCATAAATCCAGACACATGCATCCTCCGTGTACAATCTTGCATTTGCCACCTACTGATCCCATGATAAAATCAAAATGCGTATTGAAAATACAATCAAATGGTATATTGAAATCCTCATGATCTGACCCTTGCTTATTTTATAGTCTCATTTCTTATTGCCTTTCTGTACCCTGTGTTCCAGAAATAGGAATTATTTGCATTAGTTCTCTGACCACACCATTCTACTTTTCTCTCTTATCTATACATTTTTATATATTTTCCACTTTGTCAATGCTTCTATGTCTAGATGCTTCATGTTCCTGGCCTTCTTCATTTTATTCTTTGAGTTCTAGCTTGGGAATCATTTTCTCCAGGAGTCTTCCCTTTGAGGGCTGGTTAAGTGCCTCTGCAAACTCTTAGCCATGCACCCTGTGATACCCTTTGTAGCCCTCTTCACATGCTATCTTCGGAGTCACCCCTAACTGCCTAAGAACATGAGGGTCAAGTCAGCCCTGTCCTGTGGTTCTGTGGAGACTGATTTACTTGATGGCTCCTCTACTTCCTCCAATACATGCTCTCATTCAATTTTGTGTATTTTCACTGAAGGCTCCACAGAGAACTAGACTGACATCATCATTGCAGCCACCAGGGACACAATTTAAAATTTTATGACTACAAAGACAACACAGTACTCTTTAGGCACAGAGACAGTGTTCTCACAAGCCCCAATCAAAAGGTATTTTATGAAGGGGGGCACCTGGGTGGTTCAGTTAGTTAAATGTCCAACTCTTGATTTCAGCTTAAAATCGTTACGATCTGTGATCAAGCCCCGAATTGGGCTCTGCGCTGGGCATGGAACCCACTTAAGATTCTCTCTCTCTCTTTCAAAAGAAGTATTTTATGGTGAGGGAAAATAATATTCTAGCTTGTATAGAGTTATTTGCTTTGTCAGATATTAGCACATTATGTTTGGACATTTTTCAAATTGTGTGCTAGCTAACACAATCCTGGAAGGTTTCTGGATGACAGGCATTTAAAGTCAGAACTTGAAAAGTTTTCCCCTTGGTGCTCTGAGAAAGCATCTTTGTTTACTACAGTACATCCCCAGAATTGACTTTGGCTTGATCTAATTTGAGAGAGTTTTGAGTGGTGACCCATGAATGAGAATATATGTTCTTTCATACTGCTGTATCCAACAACTAATTAAAAAAAAAAAACATACCGTGAACAGATGTTAAATAATGGCTATCTTTTGCTGGCAAAGGGAAATTGAACATTTCTTTCTTTTTTGTTCCTGGGCCTCAGAATCACAAACCCACAGACTTTGCAAATAGATCTGATTTTTGTGTGATATTTTGTGGCTGTAAGTAATTTAAGTCAACTAAAGCTATTGATGTTGCAGATTATTATTGTTTAATAAAAGAGTAATGGGGGCAGAGGAAGCAATTACTGATTCATTGCAAACTTATTTTTTTATGATTATTTTCAGTTCATATATAACTCTTTTTCCAAATATGTCTTTACTTATGGCTGTCCTTGCTCTTTATTTTCACGAATTATTAGGCCAGCAGACACTGGCCAAGTTGCAAACATTTACATTAGTTCCATCCAAACTTACCTGTACATTTCCTTTTAAAATCCAGCTCAACCTTTTAAAATCTCTTTAATTCCAGACCACGATCATACAAGTGCTTTCCTATGGTTTATACATTCCTTCGAAAATATTTTTTTGGGTATCTACTACATGCCAGATACTTTCCTAGGCAGGAAAGTTATGCAGACGTGAACAAAACAAAGTAAGACAAAAATCCCCTGCCCTCGAGTGGGTGACTCATTTAATACAAAAGATAAAATTATGTGCCATGTTGGATAACTTTAAGTCTAGGGATTAAAAACTATTTAACAGTAAAATAAGGAAATTTCAGAAGTACTGGGGGAACATGTGGGACCTACTCAATTTGGAGGTGAACCTTTTAAAACACTGTGAATAGGGCTGTCTGATTCTCCCTTTGGTTTTTATCTGGACAACAGATTTGCAAATAAATCAATACCATGCACGAGGTAATAAAACTGTTAAAAGCTATTTAAGACCATGGAATATCACTGAGCCATCAAAAAGAATGAAATCTCACCATTTGCAACAATGTGGATGGAACTAGAGGGTATTATGCTAAATGAACTAAGTCAGGCAGAGAAAGACAAATACCAGATAATTTCACTCACATGTGGAATTTAAGAAACAAAACAGATGAACATAGGGGAAGGGAAGGGAAAATAAGATGGAAATAGAGAGGGAGACAAACCATAAGAGATACTGAACTTTAGGAAACAAACTGAGGGCTGCTGGAGGGGAGTGGGTGCAGGGGAATGAGGTAAGTGGGAGATGGGCATTAAGGAGGGCATGTGATGTAAGGAGTACTGGGTGTTATGTGCAACTGATCAATCACTAAGTTCTACCCCTGAAACTAATAATACACTATGTGTTAACTAACTTGAATTTAAATATAGAATTTTTAAAAAAGCCTTTTAAGAACAACACTCCTTTTATCACCTTTGGAAGCTACTTATCAACCAGGTCCCATTTTCATCTAAAAAAAAAAACTTGCTTTAAATATTCTAAAAGGTATTACTTTGTCATAATGAACTGTAACTACTTTCTGCATCCCACTTGAAAGTGACTGCTTGTATGTAAATACCAGCACAACTCATGTCCTTTCAGCACACCAGCCTTCCTTCAGTCTTGATAAGTGACATTCTCCCATGTTACATGTCAGCTTGTCTTAACTGCAAATTACATCATCGAGGCACAAGCAAGGGAAGGTAAGAATACATCAGGGAACTTAAATATAAACTTCACATTATTTAGAATTGAGCTAAGTCCACACAACAAAAACTCTACAACATGGGAGGGTGAAGAAAATGAAAACATTTCCAAAGGTATTTATTGAGAAACAGTAAAGATGTACATATTTTTACAAGCTTTTAATATTAATTTACATTTCTTTAAATTATGTAGGCCCCGATAATCTATACTTTACTAATACATAACAGAAACCCTTGACTTTAACTGTGAGATTTCCATAATGCTACCATAGTTAGGAGTCAAAATGCAACTTTGGCTCATGATGCTTGGATTTATTTTTGAAGGAAATACTAAATGCCATATTCACTGAGAACATAGGCTCATCATAAACAAATGTACTTAAAAAGAAAAAAAAACAACTTCAAACTGGAGTATGCTGTTGACACTATTTTGAATCTTAGCTTATCAAGACTAAGGAAAAACATTTTTTAGAGTTATCCACTTTTTTGTGTTCAAACTGCATAATTCTAAAATAATTTTTTTTTTGCCTCTGAATTTGATTTACAAGTTTTTGTAGGGGTAAAGTGACTTTGTCTTGTATGCTATGATATTGTAGCCAGGCCACCGACTCTGATATTTTTCAGGTACAATACAAGGTGGTTACCTTTCCTAGTGACTTACCAAGTTTGTCCATGAAGCAGCCAAACACTCATTTCAGTGACAGAACATTTTTCAAACTGGTTTATAATAAGGCACAATGTTCTATGTCAACAGAAACTGGGAACTGCCAAACAGGTTGTTCTCTTTGCTTGCTGGCTTATTTGTGTGTGTGTGTGTGTGTGTGTGTGTGTGTGTGTGTTTTCAGACCAGAAAAGAAGAGGATCTCTGTTCCTCACACAGGAAGGATAGGGTTCTAGTCTGCGCATGCTCCAAGTCACAGGCCAGCCGTGAGGTCGCCATTTGGGCCTGAGCCACTGTTGTCTGTTGGCTAACCCAGCACTGAGGCTCTATGCTGGCAGCCTCTTCTGAACGCACGATCAAGGGAGAAAATATAGGTGAGCAATAGCACTGGGTGATGTAACTGGCAACCCTTCTTCACCTGTGAAGGGGTATTCTTTTCTGTACCTGCAGGTTTAGCAGCATTTATAAGCCTTGCTCATTTGACATGAAAAGGATTAAAAATCTAGATGTAATGCCACAGTTCTATCATTTAAGGAAACTGGCTATACAGATAATATTGTTGTATTCACAGTAATAAATATTTAAGGTTTTAGTGCACAAAACGTAATCACTAATGATCAGTGCAGGTCTTTGATTTTTTTCAATTGCTATTTTCAAGCTGAAGGCCAATAAAAATGTAAGATTATTCTTATTATTAATAGCATTATCATCATTATTAAAAGTATTGCAACTTTAATTTGTCTGCACCAGTAGTTGGGGAAGAGAGAGCCAAAAGTTATTCAATTTAAAGAATAGGTTTAAGGTTTGTGTGATAAAATCACAGTCTCAAAATCTGCAAAACTGGATCTCAAGCTCTTTCTGCCCAATGTAAATATGGCCTTAGCATTCAGAAAAGAAAGACAGGTTTACAGCCTGGAAAATAAAACCATATTTCCACAGTGAATGTTGTGATCAGTGTGCAAAGCACACTGAGCAGGAGCCACTGAAGCCTCAGAGGATGAGCTATCATGGACCAGCCTCTGGTTACAGGTGCTGCCTATTAGCTGGACTTCAGGTTCCACATTATGACATTTTAAACACAGAAGTGCAGGGGTGCAGACACCATTAAAACACTCCTAGATCTTGAAGTCTTAAGTTTCCACAAGGGAAATCATGTCATACAAAATGACAGGAGAACCTGTATCATGTTCCTAACATGGGCTACACACCAAGAAAAAAACACACATGCACACACAATGATGACAGGTTCTCCTTGCAATGAATGCAGGCCATTGTGCAGGAACAGGGTAGGCAGAAACTAAGGTGTATGGGTCTCTAAGGGAGAGACCTTGGATTGACGCATTAAGATGGAGAACCAGATACTATTTCACTGTTGAAATTTTAGTACTGCTGCCAAGATCTGGTTCACTTGCCAATTTATTTTATGACGATATTCTAGGTAAAATTTTCATTGTTTCACTCCTTTCTTTAGAAGCCATCTGGGGCATTCGCCTTCCACCACTGATGACATTTCATTTTTGCAATGGCATTGGGAATGAATGCCTTAGCTTTACTTTCAGCCATCTTCACTCAATGTGAATTTCAAGCCATGTCCATGGAATAGCCTAAGAAAGTCTGGGTGCTATTTGCCTATGATTTTAATGAGACTATTTTCCTCTACACAACTTACACATATCAAAAAGTCAAACTCAAAATAGTGTAAGTAGTCATGAATATGGCTCTTAGTTTTCTCCAGAAGAACTATAGAAAGGGGTACTCGAGACTTCACGATACATCTCACTTTCTAAGTAAAGGTCCCACAGTCTTTCCCAAACCTTCTGCTTATGGTTGGATGCATAAATAGTTGCCTCATATAATTATTGGAATTATTAAGAACCCAAATAAAACACAAACTTTATTATCATTGTTTTCTTATTGCAACAGTTTCTTGCTGATGCAGTATTAAGATCTGATACCTTGAATTTTAAATTTGGTCATCTTAAGAATGATCACAAAGGTTTTTTGTTTTTCATTATCTACAGAAATTTTAACCAAAGTTACATTGTAACACACAAACGCTGTCTTGTCTTTAAGGCACAACACATCAGTATGAACATTCTGTTTGCCAAACTTAAAAAAGAGACATTATTAGACTCCCACTGCCCACCCACTTCCCTCCCCAACAAATGAAAGAAAAATTGCATCCACTTTCAAAGTCAGCTGCTAATAAAGTCACAGTAAATTATTTTCATCAATAATTTACACAAATTACAGGTCTAGATAGGATTGTCCTTATACAGTCTGAGTGCATTCCAATTCAGATTTTCTGGGCTAGGTAGGCTAAAGTCAGATTCAAACCTCAGGGCTGAGAAGATATCCCATTTTGAGGAATGTTGTTGAACACCACCTTGTCAGACGGAGCATGTGTTGGTGCTTTGCCAGGGTAAGAGTTCTTTGCTAAAGCTGTTAATTCCAGTTAGGACTCATTCGGTGTGTACTAGCAACCTCCACAGATTTTTTTTAAAACCATTAAAGTATTGTAAATATAAGACCATAGAGCTTCCTTTCTGTAGCACTAAAGTTTAATTCCATTCAGCAATCTGAATTCTTCATTCTGGAATTTTCATTCCAAATATGATTTCATCCTTTAAGACAATTTATATGTGTAAAGCCAGAGGCATTGAATCACACATAAAAATTCAGTGTACTTGAAATATATAAAAAAAATGGATCTTCAGCTAGAGAACACCGTTACAAATACTCTAATTCCAGTGCTTGATGCAGGGCCAAGAGGTCTGAGTGACTTGATATCCTCCAGAAGGGCATGTTGTGCTGTGTGTTGACAGAGGGAGGGACAGAGGAGAGAGGGGGAAGGAATGGAGAGAAATCATAACTATTGTCTCAATGAAGCAGCAGTACACACGTGTGGTTCACCCACGTTCAAGTGAGGGAATTCAAGGAAGGCATGATCATATCTGAAGGCTTGGTAGCATCAATATCATATGGTCAAAATAATAGAGAAATAGATCTGAACTGGATTTTAATGTTTATAAAAGCAAATACTGAGATTTCTTAAGTACTTTAATATTTATTCAGGAAAATCACAGCCAACATCAGCATCTGGGGAAGCAAGTTGAGCATCGAAATCCTCCATGGCTGATGGAAAGCAATTTTTAACCACAGTACTCCTCAGGGTTCACATCTCAGTTAGAAACAAAAATTTTAAAATGATAAACTTCGTAAGTCCAAGGCTTTTGTCTCTATGAGGGGAAGAGGGTAAATTCCTTTCTATGTAAAAAATAATTTGAAGCTGAACTATATAAGGTAGAAAACAATGGGGGGATGGTCAACCTTCTTCCTTGTCTGGAGTAAGTTATAACTTAAGCTAGTAGCATTGACTTACATCACTGGTGTGGGACTGAAAGCACTCCAGTATCCATTTACAATAGGGGTGATAATGTACCAAAGGGGACAAAAAGTGGCCTCTTGTGTGGAAAAATATTCTTAGACATTACAATGGTTTCAGCCTCTCCAAAGATATACCAAGATATGGTTAAGTTTCACAAAAAAAGTGTGATTAGGAAAAAAAATGTCTAAAAATACTCCATTAAGGACAATATTGAAAAAAAGAAATAATGCATAATAGCAATTAAAACTAAAGCATTACTTGTACGTTTGAGCTCATGGCATCTTGTAGAATACATGTGTATGGAATATCTATCTATATAATGGAAATACATATATATATGTATAACATGGGAAATGCATTTCATTATATAAGTTAAAATGATCATCACTATTGTTACGATTCTTTGCTGTCCAATATGGTAGCCAGCAGCCCCACGTGTCTATTGAGCACTTGAAATGTGGCAAGTCCTGTTCAAAATGCATACTGAACTTCAAAGACTTGGAATGTAAACATCACATTAGTAATTATTATGTTTATTAGGTGTTGAGACAATAATATTTTAGGTATATCAGGTTAAAATATATTACTAAAATTAATTCTACCTCTTTTTTTTAAAAAAAATGAAGCTTCCAGAAAACTTAAAATTACAATAATGGCTCACATTATACATTTCTATAGGGGGTGTGGTTATACATTAATTCTTAAACTTTGAAATTTCTTCTTAAATTTGCAAAACAAAACATGTTTCTAGGTCCAATTTAAGCACAAAAATTCACCTAGAACCTCTTTTTATTTCATTCAGCTCAGATCTATTTATAATAACAAAATAGTACTTCGTACTTCTGCGCATGCGATTACAGCCACATCCAAAGAAAAGCATGCATACTGGATGCTAGAGGAACCAGCCACCTGTGTTTCAAAATAGAATTGTAAGCCTTCCCCATCACCAAAACTGTACCTACATAAACAACCATTTGGAAATAGCATTCTAACCAAGGTTCTTGTCCACTTGGAGTCATGCCTTTTTCTCCTGAAGTTTCAGGTGTAAAGCAGAGGGTATAACAACTGGTATGCCAAGTCCTGTTCTTACACCATGGATAAATGGTGTAGATGTAAATTTCCATTTTATTATTTTTTATTTTTTTATTTTTTAAAGATTATTTATTTATTTATTCATGAGAGACAGAGAGAGGGAGAGAGAGAGAGGCAGAGACAAAGGCAAAGGGAGAAGCAGGCTCCATGCAGGGAGCCTGACATGGGACTCGATCCTGGGAATCCAGGATTATGCCCTGGGCCTCAGGCAGGCGCGAAACCGCTGAGCCACCCAGGGATCCCCTAAATTTTCATTTTCTAAGGCATATAATTTTCCTGGTTCAGAAAAGCGAATTTAAATTAGCCCTCACCTAGATGTGTGTGAATTTCACATAGCTGAAAAGATATGCATAACGTCTGCTGCAGTGGCTGCATTGACTACTTGTTGACTGTAATGATGGTGCCAATATGAAAAATCGAAACAACATGGACTCTGGACACTGACAAACTCCAAAAGATACTTCAACTGTGTGCAACTGGGAGGATTTTAAGTAGCAGTCAGCAGTGGAAGTTGTATTTCTTGAGGCTGCGTCTCTGACCTTATACAGAATGTCCTATGGGCCAGTGTGCTGTCTTGGGTCCTGATGCTGCTAGTTAAGACCAAGAGCTCTGTGGGAATCAGAGCCTACACCAATTATCTTAATGTTATGAAAAAGCAATGGATTTTTCAATTATGTATTCTAACACTTCACCAAACCTTCTAACCTTCTTCTTTCTCTTTCTCTGCTTTGCTTGATTGGAATTATCTACAAACCTAGGTCATTTTTTAAAATATTTCTATTATAGCTATAAACCTTTCTTAAAAACTCATTTATTTATTTTGTAAAACAGAAATCAGGTAAACACTACAGCATATGCAAGTGTTTAGTGAAGGTTTTATTAGATGATGATTTGAGATCGCCTCAGGATAATGACAACGTTCCTTCTATGTAAAACAATATAGGTTGATACGTCACTGTTTTAAAATAGCAAGTACCAATCTGTTTTATCTTATAAATTATATGATTTTTATCCTGGCTAGATGATATTTTGTGATCATTCAATGAAGGAAGCATTAGATCTCAGTGTTCTATCAACTGATAGTAGGACCAATCCTGTATCATCCCTCTTTTGATCGTGGGCCAACCATTTAATGGTTTTTAACTACCTTAATTTCTTCTTCAGAAATGTGGGCCAGATGAAAAGGCTTATTTAAATACCTAGGGCCTATGAGATTTTCTGAATATGTTCAATGCCAGCTGCTTGGCTTCAATCGAGTACTAACGGCTCACTGAAATGGGCAACACTATTCTAGATATAAGGCATACTGCCTCTAAATCTCTATGACAAGTTGGCACCAAAGGATCTGAATAATACATGTTATTCCAACAGCATTTTTAAAATTCTCTAGCAACAATTTTTTCTTCAGCTATTAAATCTATCCTTAGTGTTTATCATCATGGAGCACACTTACTACAAGACACTCACAAGGACCGTTGACATAAAAAATGGGTGAGCAAAAGGATAAGAACAGAGCCACTAACATGATTTCCATAGAGCTCATAAAATTTGTCTATCGGGTTAAACTTCACGTTTTTAAAAATGGTTATTTTCCCCCATCTTTCTTAAAGATCATTATATCTGTCTGCATTACACACACACACACACACACACACACACACACACACGTGTCCTTAACTAAATTTTGCACATTTCTTATCAAATTTCAGGCAAAAAATGCTAGACTCCAAATGGTTTATTTGAATGTAAGTATTGACCTTCTCATGCTCTTACTGCTTTGCATCTATAAATTTAAATAATTTGTCAAGCTGCCATTGGACCAAACTACAGGAATGCAAACACAAAAGCTTGCATTAGAAGTGTCACACCAACATTGTTTGAGACAGGTTACCTTTTTTGCTGCCTGTTCTTCTTCTACACCATCCCCAATTACAACATATACTACTTTTCTGCCAAACCTTTGCATTATTCGTTCAAAGCAACTTTCTTTTCCTGGAAGATAAATGAGATAAAGTTCAGAGTGAAGTTACCTGGTTAGCGGCATGCTCCTCATCTCGGCCATCTCCAATCACAACATAAGTTATGTTAGTGCCAAATCTGGACACTATACGCTCAAAACAGCTTTCCTTGCCTGAAAAACAATGCACTGCTTATTCTTCCAGACATTGCATTCATTAACCTAAAGATTCATAAAGTGTTAGGTTAATTTCTCTTGATCATCAATCACTTAAACTAGCTTGTAACCTCTGGGTTTATGAAATCAACAAATATGTTTGAATACTGTAAGTCTTTACTCAAGACAGATTATTAAACAAATGTGTTTTAGCCTCCAAAAGAGTCAGTAGGGTTAAGAATTCGACCCAGAGAAAATGTTAGCATCTTCCAAGAATATTGGAACAACTTTACAAACAACTATGAGTCTTGACATTTATTTGTTTAATTTTGTGTGTCAATTTTACCTAGTTTAAGTTGTATAGACCAGTCAGCTAGAAATATTATTATAAAAAACTGAACGCTCACCTGTAAGGAAAGAGGAAATACTAAGATGTCGGTTTACCTTGATAAACAACTCCTTTCTTCAAGTGGCTGGGAGCTAGTTTGCTCAGATTAATTGAACTAAGGGTGCTGTCTGACTGGGCCACAGCACTGGTGCCACCTGTTTCCTCTGCTGGCACTATGGGAATAACATGGTGGCATTTCTACATGTTCTTTATTTTATAACACTGGCATAATTTTCTGAATTTCATTCCCAGAATGGTCATGCAGTCATGGGTATTTTTGCATGTTTTCTTAATCTGATAGTTCAGAACTCAAAAACAAAAAACAAAACAAAACAAAACAAAAAACTAGCTCAAGGGGAAAAATAAAAGTGATTGTTTTTTAAGATTAAATATAAGGAACAATTTGGCCAAAAAAAGAATATTGTCCTTGCTAGAAGAAATGTTTATGATAGTGTAAAATTATTTGATTTGTGAAAATGCAAAATAAAGTGTGATATGTTAATCTTGCTAGCATAAATATATAACATTTATGTAATGAATGAGTGGGATTGGTATTAGGGCTCTGAGCTGTAGTGCCTATGACAATGTAGAATTTACATTATGAAAGCTTATAAAGGCTCTCTTTAACTATATTCCTGAACCAGCTGCAGCTGGGGGCTTTTTTTGCCTGTGCCAATATTGAAACTCTGCAAGGCCCAGGGCAAGTTATTTTTGGTAGGGGATTTTGGGATTCTGAGCTCTTGTCAAGGTGCCAGAGCCCAAGTTTGCTGACCTTCAGGGCACAATATACAACCTGTTGCCCAGGCATTTCCTTGACAGACAGTGGAATATGTGAGCTGTTTTCTTTCAACTCTTTCATGATGGCAGAAGCTAGGAAACTCTGTTTTTGAAAGGTTATTAGGGACAGTCTATGAGAGGAGATTAAAGAGGAGATTATTTTTGTGAGAGAAATAATCCAGTGTTCCAATCAAGGGGCTGACAAATGGGGATCCGCAGACAGATAGTAAGCAAATAAACAAAGCTGTAGTTCTTTGATTACTATTGGACATTTTTGGAAATGTGGACTTCCAGCCATTCATAAGTTATAATTCATGAAAATAATTTTTTCTCTGGAATCAAGGCTGTCACTTGCCATCACCTACCACTCCCCTGTAATGCCAACAGAGTATTTTTATCTTAGATCTAGATTATTGCATCTGCTAAGATGTAATACCATATATCATACTAATTAAGATATTAAATACCATGGCCAAAGACACTCTATTATTTAAAACAGGTGCTGTAATGAAGTATACATACAAATACATAAATAAGTAAACAGAGTTGTCCAGATACTGAATTCAGAATTTCACTAGGCAACAGTTTTCATAAAATTTGCAAATGTACAATAAGTCACAGGGTACTTTGTTATATGAGCCCTATTCAAATTTGCTTGATATTCTAATAGCAAAACTGATGAAAGAGGAAATCATGCAGAGAAGCATATTAAGAAAATCCACCCAAACACAGATGTAAAAGCATTTCATACAGAGTTAGAAAGAATTTTCTTACCTATTTTAGTTGCACTGTAAATATTTTCAATGGGGAAAGCACCTCCTAAACTATAGAGTAGAACCTTCGCAAGTGCTGGGATCAGTTGGGTTGTCGTTACCAAGACATTGACACAGTTACTCCTAAGATAGGGAGGAAATATGCATAGTTGTTTTCTAATATGAAATAATTTCTAATGGTGTAGATTTTAAGTGGTCACTGTGGTCTTTCAATTCCATAACAAATGGGCCCTGATAACCTAACTTTTAAGCATCAGTTATTGATTGAGTGCCTGTTACTGGACAGGCACCATAACTAAGAATACATCCCAAAATGGGAGAAGTGGAAGAAAACTGGCAAAGAGAAGTCACAGATGAATACATTTTTGTTCCTGCCTCATCCCAGATCACAAGATAGGCAGGAGGAGAAAAGTAAACCGATACCTGTAATAGAAATATGTTCTATAGTAAAGAGCTCCTCGGGCTTCTGTGGATCTTCAGAAAACCTACCTCAGCCAGTGGCAATCATGGAAAAGTTATTGGAGGGATGGCTTGGCTCTATATTTTACAAGTATTCAGATGAGGTATTTTTTAGGGTGGTAAGATTCTATGTCCCAGCATTATCAGAGCCTGGAAAAGTACTGGACACAGGCAGAAAGAAGGCAACTGGATGGATGGGTAAAAGGAGTTTTTGGACTTTGTTTTTGTTTTTTTTTTAATTTTTTTAAAATTTTTATTTATTTATGATAGTCACACACAGAGAGAGAGAGAGAGAGAGAGGCTGAGACATAGGCAGAGGGAGAAGCAGGCTCCATGCACCAGGAGCCCGACATGGGATTCGATCCGGGTCTCCAGGATCGCGCCCTGGGCCAAAGGCAGGTGCTAAACCACTGCGCCACCCAGGGATCCCATTTTTTTAAAAGATTTATTTATTTATTTATTTATTTACTTATTTATTTACTTATTTATTTATTTATTTATGATAGACATAGAAAGAGAGAGAGAAGAAGCAGAGACACAGGCAGAGGGAGAAACAGGCTCCATGCCGGGAGCCTGACGCGGGACTCGATCCCAGACTCCAGGATCGCGCCCTGGGCCAAAGGCAGGCGCTAAACCGCTGAGCCACCCAGGGATCCCGTTTTTGGATTTTGTGAGAGAAATAATCCAGTGTTCCAATCAAGAGGCTGACAAATGGGGATCCTGAAGAAGTAAGAATGCAGAGGACCCTTTTTCAGTCCCAAAGAGAGGTATCCCTGAGTCTCCTTCTCAACAATAAAAGAGCGAACCGCATTTAATGGGTCCAGTTTTAATCTGCTTACAGAGGACCTACGCTCTGAGAGTGATAATGTCTCATTTTACAACTTACAGTTGTTTCTTCCATGGTAACATTGTGGGGAAGAAAAGGAAACAACAGGAGAGTGGGAACTGTGACATCTGAAAAGAACAGATTGTGATCCTTCCTTCTGGATCATGGAAAAATTGAGTTGTCCTGCCTTGAGGGGCTCAAACCACACATGTCAAATTGGGGCTGAGAAGGCATATAGGTATGGACCTTTCTCTATTGGTATTTTGTAGCACAAGCCTTTAATACGTATTAGTGAGGGTCCCAAAAATATTTCCTAGAATTCTCTTGATTGATTTTCAGAAGCCTGGTTAGAAGTTAGAAGAGCAAGCTGACTGCCAGCTTTTCATGCGTATGTACACGCTTACCCTCCAGTACACTTAATATTATGCTTTATATTATTAAGACAGATCCTGTGTAAAAAAAATAAATTCCCCTTTATTCCCTTTCACTATTTTTTATATACATGAAAACCACATGTGGCGAAAGCATCATTTTCTTAAAGTTAGTTCACTTAAGATGGTTCTGATTTCTAAATTTTCTAAATAATGCTGCCTTACATAGAAAATTTTCCTATGCATTTGATTATGACCTTTCACTATATTCATAGGAGAAGAATGAAAGCGAGGATGCCAGCTCAGCCAAAAGCTCAGGTATATAATTAATTCAGCCATGTTTTATGTAAGCTTCTGTTCTTTTTGGGACATTTTGCAAAAATTACCAGTATGGTCCTATATGTGGATGACTTAACAAATTTCATGGCCCTTAAATCTCCAATGTGTAATGATTTGTTTTTTTCCCTTCCTCTCCTTGTTACACTTTTCTTAAAATCATACATGTAGGGACACCTGGGTGGCTCAGTGGTTGAGTGTCTGCCTTCAGCTCAGGGTGTGATTCCGGGGTCCTGGGATGGAGTCCTGCATCAGGCTCCCCACAGGGAGCCTGCTTCTCCGCCTATGTCTCTGCCTCTCTCTGTGTATCTCTCATGAATAAATAAATAAAAATACTTTTAAAAATCCACACATGTAGTTGCTTTAAGGCTATGTGTCTAAAAATAATCCCTCTATGTTATGGATAACACATATACGATCTACATAACAACAGAATAACTTTTGGGTTTTAAGCATCTAGAAGACATCCTGCTGACTTCCTCCTCAGAGAAAGGCGAATTCTACTACATTTTACACACAGTTTCGGGGACTCAGGAGTCCTCACATCCTAGCCTCCATGACCTTCTCTCTCCTTATCACCAGTTACAGAGACCACAGACCAGCAAGTCCCATTTTATAACAGCTTCAGTTGTGAGCCAGAACTTTCCTTCCTAGGATTCCTACTCATCCATCCTAATATTCTCCTTTACAGATCAGAGAGATGTAATTTATTTTCAGCCTAACATTTCAAACAGTTGTAATTGGTAATCTTGTTCTGCATAGGACTCTCCTTCAGACTAAACTCCTTGGTTCCTCCCTCCAACTGTTCCTTTTGCATGGTATCCTCAGCCTAAAACCTTTCTGGCTACTTTCCTGGACACAAGATGTTTCAATGTGTCATAGTCCCCCCCCCCCCCCCGAATGTGATGCCCAGATCTGAGTGAAGTACTTTGTTCTGGCTTCCCCAATCTGACTCAGGAAACCTGCAGCTTCCAACCCACCTCCATTCCACCCACTTATGCTTTCTGATATCAATGTATCTGCTGGTCACGTTGCAGCTAGATGCCACATGCAGGATTTGATGTACACAAGTTTTATTGTCAAGGCTTTCTGTATCCCAATTCTATAAGTCAAAATATTACCTCTTTCTCTGAATTTGTGCTACCCACAAGTTGGCTACACAGGCTTTTATTGATCCACTTAACCCAGAAATAAAATTAAAGAATAGGATAGTAAAAAGGTTCATCCACACCCTAAACTAGCTATCTATCACTTTTCAGATTTACATTACTTTATGAACTAGCATTTATGGCACATGGTGTTCAACTAGTTTTAAGTCTATTCAGTTCTACTATCTCCACTAGTAAGTCAGTATTTCACTGTTTAGTTCAAAAGATACAAAGGTTACAAGTTTTTCAAAGAGCTTTCTCTTGCTCTTTCATTGCATTTAAATTATGCATATTACCTACAAATGGGCCAAAACACTTAAAAACATGCACTCTGTGTGTAAACTGTATTTTTTTTCGTCATCTCCTGTACTTTGCCACCAACAGGGTGTTGTCTTTTTCTTTTTTTCTTTTTTTGTTACACGACACATGACCTTCCTGTGGAGATGATCATTAGTTATGTAGAAAGAAAGGTAAAGACATGGGATCTTCTGGTTATTCTGAGAAGCAGCACCTGCCATCCTCTACCCCCAATCATCTCCCACATACATTGAAAATCGCCTGATTCAGTGAATTGTCAGGTCCTCTGAAATTCTAAAATACTCCAGTAATTAAGGACTTTTTATGTGTGTTATACAATTACAACTACATCTTCAATACCATAAATATAAGAACGGAAACAATAGTTTCCACTTACCTAGTACTAATAATTGATAAGGATTTAAGTGCATTTGTTAGCCAGGAATCTGTCAGACCTTCAATCTCTGCCCTTAGCTGCAGCCACGCATCTCTCTTGGCAGGGCCAAGGAGTCCTGCAACCAAAAGAGAAGGTACAATCAAGAGACGAAAAATTTCAGGAATACCTGGTTTGGTCTCCCTTCTGTCTAGTATAGATCACATCAGAAACAGAAAGAGACAGGTTTATATCAATACAGATCCTTCATTTAAGAACTGATATCGATTCATTCATTATTCATTCAAACATTTATTTCTAGATTTTAGGTCCTGGGTCAAAAAAACCCTAGGGAAGTAATAGTGAAAATGTGGGTCCTCGTCTCTAATCTCACAGAACCTAGAATCTGGCACGGCAGACGCCGATCACCTGAGGAGCTACTATGACCACTCCTGTGCTGGGTCCCACTCCAAAAGACAGGGATGTAATAGGTCTGGAGAAGAAGGTGGGGTCGTCCAGCCAAGGGATACACATCTCAAACACTGGCTGTCTGAAAATATTTCACTTCTTAATGATCACAATCATTACCATTTAAACCACTAATACTGATATTATTGTAGGTAGTTACTAGTGCTGAAGCTATCACAAATACTCTGCATTCTATTATTTTTTAAAGATTTTATTTATTTATTCATGAGAGACACAGAGAGAGAGAGGCAGAGACACAGGCAGAGGGAGAAGCAGGCTCCATGCAGGGAGCTCGATGCGGGACTCAATCCCGGGTCTCCAGGATCAGGCCCTGGGCTGAAGGCAGGCGCTAAACCGCGGAGCCACCCGGCCTGCCCAATACTCTGCATTTTAAACAGAAGTTAAGAATTGTGTTTAAAATTCTTAAGCATATGACACAGTTAAAAAACAATGGTTAAAACTGTGCTGATGTTGGGATAAGAAAACATGTAGGCAAACTGATTTTTTTTTTTTTTTAATTTAAAAAGCCTTGTTAATAGGGCGCCTCAGTGACTCAGTTGGTTGAGCATCTGACTCTTGATTTCAGCTTAGGTCTTGATCTCAGGGTCGTGAGACTGAGTCCTGCATCAGACTCCACACTAGGCATGGAGCTTCGTTAAAAAATAAAAAGTCCTTGTTTTATGATAAAATGAGATCATGCAAATTTGCTAAAAAAGTTTCTTATTTAAATCATATTTCAGAATATTAGGAGCACATATACAAGTGGGTGATTTTTAAAATCAAAAGGTATAGTTTCTGGCAACTCATTTGTCCTTATTTCAATAAAGAGATGCTGACAGAGCACAGAAAATGACACTTGCATGTCAACTCTTAAACTTTTTAAGCTATAATATTATTTACTAGCAACCTTGTTAGTTGTTAAATAACTTTAATAATACCCTTCATGAGGGAAACAATGCCATGCCTAAATAAAAATTACTTCAGAATTCTCAAGGGAATATTTTAAAATTAAACATGTTGCCCACAATTGAATTTAAACAGAATACCTGTTTGATTTTACAAAAATGTCTTATCTAGAGCATTAGAGTGAATTAAGAAACCAGAGTTGTCTGTCCTGCAGGGGCCTATTTCTCATTTGGAAATGAAGATCTCCTATTTCTAAGATCCCTTTTGGTTCTAAAAACCGTAATAATATTATTGCTATTGTCTATGGTTCCACATGTTTTTTGTTCTCTTGTAGCTACTGTCTACTGAGCATCTATTATGCACCTTAACGCTCGCTAGATAATGGGGATACAAGATGAACAGACACACAGCCCCCTGCCCCCCATTGTGTGTTGTGTGTAATACATATACTGTAGATGAAAATGTTACTGGGTGTTATTCTATATGTTGGCAAATTGAACACCAATAAAAAATAAATTTACATAAAAAAGTAAATGTTACTATACTTATTCTATGGTATGTATATACATAGTATGCATATGTATATTTAGTTATAGTTCAATTTTAGATCCTGATTTAAGCTCTTCAATCATCCTTTATTTTTTTTAAAGATTTTATTTATTTATTCATGAGATACACAGAGAGAGAGAGAGAGAGAGAGGCAGAGACACAGGCAGAGGGAGAAGCAGGCTCCATGCAGGGAGCCTGATGTGGGACTCGATCCCAGGTCTCCAGGATCACGCCCTGGGCTGAAGGCAGCGCTAAACCGCTGACCTACCCAGGCTGCCCCTTCAATCATCCTTTAAAGAGAGAAAGAGAGACAGAAAAAAAGAAAAACAAACAGAAAGCCTGCAAGAAAACATCATGTGACTTCATAGCTCATCCTAGGATCTTGCTGACCTAAAATTGATCCTAATAATAGAAATAATCAAAGTGTATTTTTATCAAAAAACATATCCGGGATTTTAGTTTTGATGTCACAGGTTGTAATATCACCTGTAATATATGGATGAAGATAAAATAATTTAGATACAGTCTACGGAGTATTCAAACAGTTAATAATATCCAGGGAAAAGCTACACTGGCAGATAACACGCAATTAAAAAAAATAAAATAAAACAGACTTGTTTAAGTCTTTGAAATGACATAAAGCAGTGTTTATCTTTATTTCTGAAAGGATTCCAGAAAGGTAATGATGACTAACAACTCTGCTTTAAGGACTGGGGCCCTCGCTTTTCGACAGGTCTTCGCACTGCCTCGATGAATTCCCTGTATGGTTTACCCTAAAAGTGTCTGCAAAAGAGGGGTAAACGTTCAATATCCTATTGTAAATTTTGACCAATTTTGACATCTGGGCACAGAGAATTCCCAACTCCTCTGGCAGAGCCGCATGTTTTATTTTGCTGTTACATCTCCCACCCACCTCAACTAAGAAACTTAAAATTCTGACTCCATGTAGTTCAGCATGAGCTCTTGGTAATTTCTTTTATAGAAGCATAGTCTCTCATACGGAACATGGAACTATAGTTCAAGTCGTACATCTTTCTAAGTATCTTTATTAGATTTAAAGAGCCACACATACCTCCAACATTGTTCTTGTAGGTGTTATATAATTCTTTTACTCTTCTGTAACGAAAAGCCAACTTCCTCATCCAGTCAACCCCTCCTCTTACACCTGTTGGCAAACAAAGGTTTGCACTACTTGCAGCTGCATGGAAGCCATCAGTTGCAAAACTGTAGGTACTGCAACACCCAAAATATATTAAAAAGAAATAAAAGAAATAATTACATGTGCAAAACTCCACAGCTGAATTTCTGTAGGAAACAGCATACTGAAAACCATGGCTTACCTTAAGTCCTGCCCATTATCATCAGAGGAAACATCATCTATATGAACTTGATCACACTCCTGTTAAAAACATTGGAAAAGTTATTTGTTTTTCAAACGATGCCCTTGTGGTATTTGATTCTTCCATCTTTCCATCTGATCAGGCCATGGCCAGAAGGCGGCAGCATTTGCCCATCTATCCCACTGCCATCCTGGGGAAATGGCACCGTTTCTATTTTAAATCCAGAAGAGTATTTAAAAAAAAAAATCCAGGAGAGTATCATAAAAAGGGATCTGAAAACATATGGCATGTGGATTTCTTCTGAGCAGCTTAAAATTTTTTACTCTGAAAATTACAAATAATAAATTATCTTTTGAATTGTTGTTAATGACTGGTGTTCACGTTCAGCCATTTAGGTTTTGCATACTTAAGTATGGAAACAAAGCTAATCTGAAGTTATACAGAACTCATTCGGTCTGAATCAGAGGTGGTGACTATCATTTGCTATCTGTTGAGCAATAACAGAAGGGCTTGATGGTTATGGTGTCCCGTGAGATTTCTGGGACTTCCTGCCTTTTGCGGGCCAGGGGTCCCATGGAAGAATCATGCTGATGTTATTCTAAGGTCCTGGTCTTTTAACACAGAAAAAAGCTAATAACCATAGAGATCGAATATTTTCTTCTTTTTTTTTTCTGTTCAAGTTTTGAAATATTGAAGCTGAAAATGATACTTACAAATAAAAGGGAAATAATGAAGATTTACCATCTCCAATGTTCTACAAACTCAGAGGAGAATAAACATTAAGGTACATGTATCCATACACGTGACCTGACTGAAATCAGTGTTCTCAGAGCAAATGGTCATTTCTTTGGGTAAGAATTAAATTCTTGGCTGTTTTAAGGATCCTATTCTATCTTCAAATAATCTGTAAAGATCCAGGGAAATAGTATGTGATCTGAAGATGGAATTTGGCTAAGGTATTTACAATACCTAGTACTTACTATAGGATGAGTATGATTTAGCTTTTTGGGACTCTTTTTCTCCCCTCAAATTATTTCAGATACTCATAGATCCTGACTGTAAACCTACTGAAAACTAATTTTTAAAAATTATTAACTGTAACAAGAAAATGCCACATAAAACAGGGGCTTTTCAGCTATTTATATTCCTTCTAAGACCTGGAAAGCATCTGTTAGTGAAATATTTAATATCTCTAGCTTTCCACACTGAGTATATTATATCCTTGTATAAGTTTGAGGGTGAACCAGGTGACTCGGGCTTCTTTTCAAATACAAAATATAAAAGTAGCCCAATCAATACAATTTTATTTTATAACCTGAAAATCCAGGTAAATTAAAGATTCATATGATTTACATAAATTATTTGTAATTTTAGAATAAATATCTATCAATATTCACACGTAAGGAAGTTAAAAAGTTAATGTGACTGGAAGCTCCCTGAGGGGGGCTGTCTGGGTCACCTGGCTGTACCCCTGCTTAAGGCACAATCTGGCACACAGTTATCATTGTGCAATTCTTTGTTGACTACATGGCAGATATCTTTGACAAATGACAGTTCTTGACAAAATCAACACAATCATTTAATTTTCCAGCACAAAGTTGCAATTATATTAAAAATAATGTTCTATATGGTAAGGACTGTAAGAAGATATTTGTATCAAGATGGAGGGGAGTGGGAAGAGAACAGGGTACAAGCTGAGGCTGCAGGACTCAGGGCAAGACACGCATTTGAAAAGGGTTTACCCCGTTTTGACTAAGTATGGGTAGTAAGGAGCACAGCCCAAATTTCAATCAAAGGAGGCATTATGCTTCCAGAAAAATCTCAGGAAAAAGTACGGCAAGAAACAGTAGTAGTGGCTCTGGATTGGGCTCTAAAGGAAAGGGTGGAGAAACTTAATCATTAGCATGAAAATTGGAAATAAAATTCTCTCAGAATAGGAAGGCAGCAGAGTGGTTCTAGACAACAAGACTTCTTTCTTATTTGGAGATGGTGACATTCTTGGTAAGTATGAAAACTGAGGTAAGTCACTATCAAAGTGGCGTCATGTGAAGTTGTTTATTCCACTGAAGTTGTGAAATCTTTCATTATGTAAATAATTTCCATGTCTCTCTTTTATAATAAACTATAATAAATAAATGAATATCCAAAAAAAAGTAGGGGAAATCCTTAGGAATTACTCTGGTAATTAGAAGTTATTTCTACATTTCATACCTTCTTATCCTAATCTGTAGAGAAATGCCTCTGACATTTCAAGTATTAACTCACATGATTAATTTGTACATTTTGCCCCTAAATTTATTTTTTACTCCTGAGGACATCAGTGTATCAAACTTATTGGAGCATGAGCTCCATATTTGAAGTTATGTTTGAGATTTTTCCAAATGGAACTTCTCATTAAATTTATGCCTAGTTAACTATGCTTATTGACTTTGGACTCTTGCCCAAGGATTACAGTCCAGTGAAAGAAACCCGAGCTTCAATCACTTACATTTTTAGAAAATTCTAAATAATTGTTCTTCAATTAGTTTTTACTCAGAGGCATTTTGCAAAAATGATTTTGACCAAAACCTGAAATACTAAAAACAGTCTAATGCTTGGCTTCAACAAATTTCCATATAAATTTGGAATAATTCTGTTATTAATCTTAATATTTTTATAATTTTGTCTTACAAGGTGCCCATAAAGTTGTCAGTGATCTTTATCAGTTATAATCCACATAGCAGTCTTCTCTCGCTTTTGTGAACCTGAGCTCCCCAGTGCCTTCTTTTCTGGAAGTTATTCTAACTGAAATAACCTTTTATTTCAACAGAGAGCATTCTCTTCTTAGGAGAAGTATGAGCATTTGCCTTCTTTGCAAGTCCTGCAGGATGCAGAGAAGTGTCTATTAGGGTTTAAATTTGTATCTTTTAAGGAATTATGTGAGAACAGCTGCTACCACATATGTTACAGTATTGACTAAAGGATGTGAGTCTCAAATTAGATTTCTGGGTTAAGAAAAGGAACTATGAGAGATTAAATACAGAGGGGGAAAAAAAAAGGCTAACGATGAGTTACTCTCTTGAGGAAATCACCTCTTTGTTAGCAGAAGCAGAGACAGCTTCACACCAGTTATGCAGCCCATGACAATCTTTGCTTACAAGAAGTTTACTGAAATAAAAAATTGGGTAAAAGTCAAGTTGACTTTCAAAATCAGAGGCAGATAGTGGAGATATGTATATATATACGTGTGTGTGTGTGTGTGTGTGTGTGTGTGTAACAGCACTGAATGATCTTGAAATGTTTAGATTTTTGTTTTCATGATTATTTACCTAACTAAAGTCAGTAACAAGCCTTTGAGTTCCCTTGGGCACTTATCTGGATGTACACGGGTGCATGTGGTATGCATGTGTGTGCACACACATGAGAATTTAATTTATGCAGAGTATGCGGATAATCATTTCATTGATAAAGTACTGTTGGATACTAAGTTGTAGCACTTGAGTCAAATAGAATTTTTATCACATTTTAAAACATAACTAAAAAGCTATAATCAGAAGAGAAAGTCAATACTAATATTTTCTCAGTTACTATTTTTCCCACAGATCCTGTCGGGTATTTTAAAAATCTATTTTATATAGTATATGATCCAAGATAAAAATTCTTAAAGCACCATAACTGACCATATGATCTGATATGAGAACATTTATGTCAAACTTGCTAAGAGAATTCACAAATTTATCATATGCTATTTTCACTTTCTCACTTTATTATCTTGTTAAAAGTTGGATGGTAAATTTATTCCATCTGGCTTCAAATGTGCCACGAAAGCTAAAAGGTCATTTATTTCATTTATTTCTAGTCAAAAACAATTAATGAAATAAAAACTCTAAAAGTTCAGAGTTTTAATCTTCCAAAAAGATTAAAAAGTGTTTTCTATTATACTGTATATATAAAGTCATGCTCTATACTACACTACTAATAAGTAGCAGGATTAATTTAAATCAGGTTTTAGAGAGGTGATTATTTTTTCTTATTATCTAAAACTGGAAAACTTGCCAAAGAATACTGATCTTTCATACTGGCCATTAAAGAAAACAAATAAAACCTCTTTAAACAGACAGTGATTTTATTATCCAGTAAAAACAGTGACCCACTGCAGAGAAAACAACACCAAAAAATGATATTACCCAGATTTCTAGCACGTACATTTATGGGATACACTAAAAATCAGAATTTTTACTCTTATATAAGTCACAAATGCAGCTGAAACTGGATTTAAGACCTTGTCAATTTTTAAAACTTATTTAAGACACTAACTTAGCTTTTTTTTTTCTCACATACTTCTGTTAATTTCAGCTTGGTATGAGGCAGAAGTATGTGCTCCGGAGCCAGAAAGACTCAGAATTTTAAATCCTGGTTTTACCACTTAGCTAGCAGGTAACCTTAGACATGATTTTTATGCTTTTGGACCCTACAAGGGTTTCTGTTCCACAAGATAACATGATAAACAAATTTATTTCAAAGGCTATTATTTAATTAATGGAAAATCCAATACAGAAAGTTCTGCACAAAGTGGCATTTCAGCAATAATAATCTCTCTCCCCATTTATAATATGATTATAAACACTTTTATTTCATTGTGAAACCATGAGGTTAAAAAATGTAAATATATCACACTTAAATATTTCACTATACTTGCTCTTGATCAAGAAGTACTATTGCTCAGTGCCCAAGCCGCTCAGTTAGTTCAAATTTTACCATCTGAATGCCTAATAACTCAGACCATTAGCACCCAGATTATATACCTCATTATAGTACTTATTTTCAGCGCTCTTGAGGCTATTGGGGGAGGGGATCCTTTCATTTTGTTACTGTTTTTACTTTCCCTGTCAGGTTGGATATGAAAAGATAAATGAGAACAAAAGAAAATAAATGCAATGCAACCAGTCAGATGTGCTATATAAACAGTTCTAACCCTGTTTTATCTAGATGCAGAGGAAATAAGGAATGATAATGTGGTCTAAAATTAAGCTTCAGATTATCTAAAAAACTTAATGACCCATGCTACCACCATAAATAGTACCTGTGACTGCTGCCCAGTGATTTAAACTAAATAAACTCTGGTGAGTAACCTGGAAAAGCTAATATTGATTCCAAAGGTGCCAAATGGGTTGTCCTGTATGGGACGGCAAAGCAGACCTTCTCCTCTTCCGAGACACTGTAGTTTTTAAACAGGTGCTAGTACATAGGTCTAATTCATTAATGCATTTTAGCTTTTGTTTGTATTTGTTTATACATTTTTCCCCTTGACAAAAACTTTACTATTCTCATGAGCTAATTATTTTTCAGATTTCTTGAGGTTATCTGCCTATTTAGAAATCATCTAAGCATTATAATAGTTGGGAGATGACTATTCCTATTTTTTTAAACTCTTACCTCTAAATCATTAAAAAATAAATGTGTATCAGCAAGATTAAAAATCATTTCCTCCATTCGGAGTCCCAGGGTTACAGCCATGGGGGGATCCTGAAAAGAAAATACACATGGAATGAGGTAAAATTTCAGTAACTAGTTTATTATTAAGAATATCAAAAGTGCATATGGTTGTGGGTGGTAGGAGTGGGTAGACTGCATGGATTTTTACCCCAATGATCTAAAAAGGTGCCTTTCCAAAGGGTAATCTAAGCCACACTAAGTATACAGATGCATCTGTGAATTTACAGGAATTTATACACGCATTAAGACAACTTAGAACATCTCTATGTTTGTGAGGAGGAAGAAGGAAGCAAGCTCATTTACAAGACCCAGTTTATATGTACTCCATGGAAAGTGGAACAACAGATAATAAGCAGGAAAGGGAGAACAGAAGGACTTCCAGATGTCAGCAGGACGGGAGTGGAAAATGGCATCTAAAGATGGGACAGGAAGAGCTGGTGAAATGTGGTAAAATCGCCACTAATTATTAATTGCCTTTTGATTGACAGGCAGTATTTTTTAAAAAGATTTTATTTATTTATTCATGAGAGACACAGAGACAGAGACACAGGCAGAGAGCGAAGCAGGCTCCATTCAGGGAGCTCGATGTGGGACTCGATCCCAGGACCCTGGGATCATGACCTGAGCCGAAGGCAGACACTCAACCACTGAGCCACCCTGGTGTCCCCAAAAGGCAGTATTTATTTGAATATGCATATAGTTTGGTCTAACCTACATCTGACTAGAGATGCAGAGGGTAGGTTTGAGGATAACTAAAGGAACATTAATTCAGTAAAAATGATCTGAGTAGAAAATACATATGTTTAGAAGTTTAATGAATGTAAGGAGGTTAGAAAGGAGGCAAGTGACTTAATTCTTGTCTACAGAAACCAAGATAGTATCTAGCAGCAAGGAACTAAGAAGCAAGACCAAAGTTGGGACTTGATCATGATTAACCAGAGTTAAAAGCCTGGGCATAAGAGGCATTAAGATTTCAAAAAGTAAGGATAATTTTGTGCTAGGGCTAGGGAAATAATTCATGCACAAACATTGTGCTTGAAATGATGAAAGTTGAAATGTTCTCCAAAGGAGTACTGCAATAGCTGTGCCCCTGGAGATACAGAAACTAGAAAGCCTAGAAGGGACAAATCCTCAGAATTTGAGACCAGAATGGGTATTAGCAGGGAGAAGAGTATGGTTTTGAATAAAGCTGACAAGTCTAGAAGGATACTGTTGGTTTTGGCTGAGAAGTTATTTTGGAAGACTTTAGAGGGTGATTTGGGTTGAGTGGCTGGGCCAGGAGCCAGATTGTAGGGATTTTAGGAGAGAGAACCAAACTTGTGTTTTCAATGCTCTAGTAAATGGCACTTAAAAAAATGTATTTAAACTTGGGGAAATTACTGCTAACTCTATTTCAATTTTTGATACGGATATGCAACCCAAAATACAGGCCAAGCTGTATTCACATGTACTCCTGAACTTACTGCACTTAGCAGGAGAAGCTCTTCCTCATCCCACTCTTACATGGTGACAACCAGTTTTCTGCCTATACTCCCTTCCATAATGCTTTGAGGAGGAAACCCTAGAGTAAACATATTTGAAGTGAGTGTCAGCTTCATAGTCTGTGGTGACTAAAACCTAGAGACTAGGAATTGAGTGCTAGGAAAGAAAGAAGTCACTGAGGTATGCTGAGCAAAGTGAAGACTTGGGTGGGAGAAGATGAAGACAGGACAGTAAGAATATGCTGGATGTCAACACAATTTTGTTTGTTCGCATCTCTTCCTTCGAGATTTTTGTGGATTTCATAGTTAGAGACTCTCCTTTCAGAAACGTGTTCACTTTTCACATTCTGGATGGCAACCTGGTACCATGTCTTCCAGTGGTCAGACTTGCCTGCTAGATTCATTTGTCTTCCAGGGACAGGATCATTCATTCTAAGCAACATACCCAAAGAGCAATTAATTCCATTTTCTCCAACAAATACTCAAGAACAAGAACAGAAATAGGGGAACCAGGGAGTGCCTACTTTGTGTCTCAAGGAGTCTTGGAACTCAGAAGGATCTCTTGCTGATACCTTCCAGTATGAAATTCTTCTTTTTCCTTACTTCTTTTATTGTGTTCATGCTTTTGTTGCTGTTGAAAGAAAATCCCTGAAGTCTGACTTTTTTTTTTTTCAAATTATACATGTGTCTTTTTCTGTTCAGGAATTCCTATTTCTAGTGTCTGTCTCTTTGGGGTGGGGTGGATAGGCCAAGGATGGAAGACTTATAAATATTCTGTCTGGTCATGGGACCGTGAACAAAACGTCTATAGAAATATCAGGAAAAATCAAATGTAATTATAGCATGAAAACATATAATTCCATTAGTGACGCTCTCTGCTTTTGAGGAATGTTCACTGATGCAAGACAATAAAATCAAGCTCTACACTACTCTGTTATGTTTCTGATGATTACTGCCCTAAAGATACATATTTCAGATGGGATTCAGAAACATCCTATTTAAAAGGTTTTCCTTCTAGAGACGAGGTTGGTTCAGTTCTCCTCTGATGCGCCAACTTTTCTTTTAAGTTTTAAATAAAATTACTGAATTTCTTATATTCGTGTCTCACATTCTTTGCATTTATAGATCGGATTTATGAGGCTGGGAGAAAACATACTGTTCCTCTTTGATTGTTACATTCATTGATTCCATGCTTCTGGAGTACAGAACTCTCTATGCTACTCATGATAGGCAAAGCCATGAAGAATGCATTTTGTATATCTGATAAGCATGCAAATACAATTTTTAAGAAACCAACATGAATTCTCTAACAAGTAAGCATAGCGTCTGGTCTGATGAAAACTGTATTTGAGCACGCCACTGGAATGCAACCCCATGGCACCAGAAGGGGTTGTTCACTGGTTTTTCAGGCTATGGTGATTCCACATCATACTCTACGAGAGCCAGGACTTAGTAAGCAATTTGGCAAAATATCATTTGTTAACTGGGAAAGTTTAGGTTTGAGGTTTGCTGGAGTGTGAACTAGCTGTATTTTACTAAGGTTTCCAGAGAACAAGGCCTGTTGAAAGGGAGGTGTTGCGTCAGCCATGCCAAAGGCTTGACACAGATGGGCTAGGGATAGTCATGCCATAAGCCAATGAAAACCATGTCTGTAAGAAGTGGTGATCTTGTTTCTAAGAGAATGTTTAGTGAGGGCTTACTTTCAAATATCAAGTATTTTTCCTTCCCCCCAGCTTACTGAATCACTGGGACAGTTAAATCTAAGCAGATTATAATACCACATTTTTTTCTAACTAAAGACCCCACAGATGTAAGAATCTGAGGAAGATGCCCTGCAAGTTGGTGGAGGCAGTCCTAGCAAGATCTCCACGATGGTGGGCACCCTCTGCTTTGCCAAACTGCTGTGAAGGAGCTGCCAGAGCTGGCAATTCCATGGTTTTATCAGGCATCAGAGAGTTAAACATACTTCTGGATTGAACCCAGATTTTATACAGAGATGTTTGCTCATTTTCATGAGATGTTTGTAGAATTATGGGCACCTTATGAATCAAGAGTTACTGCCTTTTTTAACTGTAGTGCATGTTGAGTTTAGGGTCTGAAATGAAGTGACAGTGAAAAGTTGGCTGGGGGTGGGGGATGGGATAATAAGGGCACCAACAGGGTTTTGTGGAAGCTCTGATACATATTATACACATACAACATTTCCAATAGGTTCCAAGTGTCTACAGCAGAGTTTAACATTGGCGCAAACTGAACTTCTGCCAATTTATTCTGTGTACTGCTCTATTAAAATAGTTAAACTATCCCCAAGACACTTTAAGAGTGGGAGGGGGAGAGAGAGAGAAAGGGAAATAGAGAGAGGGAGGAAGAGAAGGGGGGAGGAAGGGAGGGAGGGAGGAGAGGAGGAGGATGAAGAAAACGACTCTTGGCCCTTAAATGTATGATTCTAAGCCAGATGTTACCAGTTTTTAACCAAGTCAGGATCAAGCACGGGACTTCGCTATATCAAAATACTAATGCCTATTAGCCATGTTAGCACAGAACATAAATCGGAGCCAGACTGTCTGTCTTTGGGCCTCTGCCCCACACTGGGCCATCAGCTGGAATTCCTCCTCTAGAGACACAATGTAAAAATACCTCAGGAGAGGCAGCAATTATATATTTTTAAAGAAATTAGGAGTTTTGTTTTTGTTTTGTTTTTTCAAAAATAACTAAAGCTCTTGGAACAGTTACTCCTTTGGGACCAGAAGCACGTTTGTAGACTTGTGGGTAAAGAGGCAGGAGATGTACAAGTTCGTTACAGAAGGAAGGAGACAGGCAGTGCTATGAACTAGGGTAGGACTAGCTAGAGGGTGTGTCAGAGTATACGAACACTTCTCCTCAGTGACAGGGGATCAAGTGAAACTCTGTCATGAATCAGAAGGGCAATTTCAGGCAGTGGGCTTGAAGATTCTCAGGGGGAACTGGAGGACGGCCTCAGAAACATCCATTGAGTTAGCACGTGCTCACAGAGTGGCTACCATGTGTCAGACGTATTCAAATTCTGGGCAGAGAGTAGAATCGAAGCAGCAAAGTTCCTGCCCTATGGGGTTAATAGTATTACTGGATGAGTTACCTGACAACTAAATGGACAAAAATCTACGTAAATATATAGCTTGTCAGGTGCTGAAAAGAATCAGAGCTGGCAGATACAGGAAGCTATGGGGATGGGTGGTGATGGCTCCCTGAATCAAAGGTCAGGGAAGGCCTTTCTCAGGAGGTGACAGTCGAGGGTAAACGCGTGAAAAGGGTAAGGGAACTAGCTCTGCAGAGAAGAGGGGACAGAGAGCAGATGTAGAGGCAAGAAGGAGTCCGTGTGCGTGGAGCAGGGTGAGGCACCGTGACCCTGGTCAGGGAAGTGAAGTGGAAGCAAGTATTTTGAGAAAGACGGAGTCCTCAACTGGTTCAGACACAGGGAAGAGGCCCCAGCAAGATAAACCGGGAATGTGGCAAGGGAGTCATTCTTCAAATTTTATGGGACAGGCAGAAAATGAGGGCTGCAACTGGAAA